TTATTTTTTTGTATATTTAATTTGTGGTGTATTTGATTTTGGTGTTTTTGTTTTTTTAGTTTTTTTTTTTTCTTTTAAACTGATTTCGTTTTGTATTTGATGTTTGCTTTTTTTTGTGTTTATTTTGTTTTTGTCTCTGAACCAATGTTCTGATATGTTTTTTTCTATTTTTTTTTTTTTGCTATTTTTTTATGTTTTTTTATGTTTGCTGTGTTCTTGGTGGCTCTTTTCTTTTATGTGCTCCTTCCTTGTTCATTGATGTTTGTTTTATTGCTTCCCGTTCATTGTTGCTGTTCTTTTTCTGTTGTTGCGTGTGTTTTTGTTGTTCCTTTTAGTTTCTTTTTCTCTTGCTGTTTTTTGCCTTTTCTTTTCTGTCACTTTGTTATCATTTCTCTTTGTTTGTTGTGTTAATTCGTTTTTTAGAGGTTTTTTTATTTGTTTATGTTTGTTGTGTTTTTTGGGCATGCATGGAGTACTTTGTATTTTGTGTGTTGTTGTTTCGAATTTTTGATTCAGGTCTAAAGGCTGTATAAAGTGCTTATCATTCAGGTCTAAAGGCTGTATAAAGTGCTTATCATTCAGGTCTAAAGGCTGTATAAAGTGCTCATGATTCAGGTCTAAAGGCTGTATAAAGTATGCTCATGATTCAAGACTAAAGGCTGTATAAAGTGCTTATGATTCAGGTCTAAAGGCTGTATAAAGTGCTTATGATTCAAGACTAAAGGCTGTATAAAGTGCTCATGATTCAGGTCTAAAGGCTGTATAAAGTGCTCATGATTCAGGTCTAAAGGCTGTATAAAGTGCTTATGATTCAGGTCTAAAGGCTGTATAAAGTGCTTATCATTCAGGTCTAAAGGCTGTATAAAGTGCTTATGATTCAGGTCTAAAGGCTGTATAAAGTGCTTATCATTCAGGTCTAAAGGCTGTATAAAGTGCTTATGATTCAGGTCTAAAGGCTGTATAAAGTGCTTATGATTCAGGTCTAAAGGCTGCGGTTACTGCGTGTTTTTCCAAATGCAGCTCACGGAAATTCAATTTGGTAGACGTCAGCCAAAAGCTACCCCCTCCAGGCCGGTTCGCATCCCCAGCCTATCGCACAGCAAACGCCCCCTTCCAATCACCGTACCGGACAGGCAGCCGCTTAAAAGCGGAGAAACTCCCACTCTCGGCCTTCTCGAAGCCTCGCAAGCCCTCGAAGCCTTGCAGAGAATCGTCTGGAGGAATCGTTTTCGTCTACTCACGCTACTCGGCGCGACCCTGGCGTCCTCAGTCTGGCTGCTCGTGGTCTGCTCCTCTTCCACGTCCCTGCACTGCTGTGGTTCGCGTGTCTCCACTGCTCTCCTCCTCTGCGGGCTCTTCTGCGGGCTGCTCCGCGGGGCCCCTCCGCGGTTCTGTGCTGCTCGTTCCTCGTGGTCTGCTGCCGCGCGCAGACGGTCTGGCGGTGCCGCGTTGTCCCGTTGCTTCCCAAGTCTCCTGGCATGTGAGTACAGTGAGTGTGCTGACCGCGGACGGATTAATCCCGGAGTTTTGGGCTGCAGGCGGCTGGTTTTTGCCCTGCGCACTTGACTGCAGGCGTCAGTTTTTTCGCCCCGTGCTTGGTCTGCAGGCTCCGTTTTCACACGTGTTTGAGCTAACTGAGGGGCAATGCATATTAAATGGCATCAATCTCTATTGTCTGAGGGATATAAGAGGAGCAATGTGCATTAATTCAGATTCATGTTCTGCCACTTGCAGTAAAACCACGTCGAAAAAAAAAAAAAAAAAAAAATCTGCAAGACTACCCCATTGTGCTCCAGACGGCACACACCAGAGCTCTTGCCACGGCGCCATATTTACAGCATTAATCTCATTACTCGCAGGTCACTATTGTTAAATGATTGTTAAATTCGTCTATCTGCAGGAGGAAGGAGGGGCCATGCATTTAAATAGCTAGGTCACTAGTATTAAACTGGTAACTAAACTGCAGCTGTTGCATTTCGAAAGTGCAGCAGAAAGAAAAAGGGCCCAATGTGAATCTACAATGGGTGTGAAGTGGAGTTGGAGCTAATGAACGTGTGGATCAGTGATCGTTCATGCGTATCTGCCATAACCAAAGCAGCAAGATGGCTCCAGGGGACGTCTGTTATTCGCATGGGAATGTTTCGGATTCGGGTTGATTTATTTCCTCAGGCTCTTAAACAACCGTGGGCATGGTTCTCTGACCGCCGCTGCTGCGGTCCCTGCTGCCGTTCCTACTGATGCCTGATCCCGCTGCTGCCTGTTCCCGCTGCTGCTCCTGCTGCCTGTTCCCGCTGCTGCTCCTGCTGCTGCCTGTTCCTGCTGCCGCTCCTGCTGCTGCCTGCTCCTGCTGCTGCCTGCTCCTGCTGCTCCTACTACTACACGTGCCGCTGCTGCTGTTCCTGCCGCTGCCGCTCCGCAGGCTCCCAGGCTGCACCTGTCTCTACGGCTCGGCTCTTTCAGACACGTATGTAACCTGGCTCACGGAGACAAGCGGCGCACGCTGGCGTGACACGTCTGTTGTTCGTATGAATCGCCTTGTGGTGCTGCTGCTGCTGCTAATGCTGCTTCTGCTGCTTCATACTGCTACTGCTGCTGCTGCTTCGTTTACTTTGCCATCTCTCTTCACCTGCATCTCTTTTTCTGAAACCCTGAACAGCTACAACAACATTCTACTGCTGTGGCTTTGATACAGAATTATTACTGTTATTTTCTAAGGACGCTGCTGCTGCTGCTGCTACTGCTGCTGCCGCGGCTTGATACAGGACTATTGCTGTTATTATCTGAGGTTACTGCTGCTGCCGCTGCTGCTACTGCTACTGCAACCCACTCTCTCAGAAGCTTATCCTGCTTCTAATGGATGCAGCCCGGCTGAGTATGCCGCGCTGCGCTGGACTCGCACCTATGCTCCCAGGGTCGCTTCGGCGGTCGTGCTTCATCTCTCTACTTAATCTTCTGATTCTATCAGATGCAGCTGGCCAAGTAGCTGCGCTGAGCCGTCAATCGGACTCCTAATCAAAGGCATCCATACCTGTATTCTTCACTCTTTTGATCGCAGGCTCCCCATCATGCTGCCCATCCTGCAGCGGCACTGAACTCCGGCTCATCTTCCAAGTACATGTCTGCCCTCCTCGCAGCATCTTCCTGCTCGCCTTCTATGGCTTCTCTGCATAAGTGTCCACTACTGCTCGCTCAACCTTCATGCGGTCCGAGACACGGCTTTTCCCGTCCTATTCTACTGGCCTAATTATCTACTCTCCAACCCAAGATTCTAAGCGTAAGGGCGCCTGCAACATCAATGGCCCTCTCCGATATGTCTCTGCCCCTACAGGTCTCCGCTTCTACACGGACGCTGCCCCTTCCGTGGGTTTTGGGGGGTTCTTCCAGGACCATTGGGTTGCCGGCCGTGGCCGCTACTTTCCACCGGAGCATCTCCTCTGCCCTACACGTGATATTCCCAGTGGTCGTGGCCTGCGCGCTGTGGAATCACACGTGGCAGAGAAAGAGGATCTCTGTCATGTGTGATAATCTCGACGTAGTGGAAGCATTACACAAAGGTCGCTCTTCTCACCCAACATAATGTCCCCTGACCATTCAACCTTCATCTCAAACATTCAAAGACCATTCATAGCTCGCTCCGACACATCTCTCTGCCCCTACAGGTCCATGATGCGTTACACTCGCCTCCGCGGCAAAAAGGAGATTTTAACGGACCTCTAATTCTCACTCCAGTCAACCTTCCCATAACAGCAACCTGGTTCAGAGCTCAGCTAAGATCCCTATTGCTCCTCTGCAATTTGTCTCCCCAGCTCTATACAGCCCACTCCTTCAGGATAGGCGCTGCCACGCGCGCGGCCTCGCTGGGGCTCCCCCACACCTCTCTGCAACAGCTGGGGCGCTGGTCCTCTTCGGCTTTCTCCGCCTACATCAGGCCAGACGCGTCCGCTATCCTGGCTGCACAACGGCTACTGACTTCCTCGTAAGCTCCCAGCAAAGCAATACGAAGCAAAGTAAGTGAAGCAATAAGTTCTGGTGGCGGCACGCACTTTTCTCAAACACTCTCCGCTGCCGCAGCGTCTGACGGAACGTGATGCGAGCGCTCACGTTCCCAGCGCGCAAAGATAACCCTGCTGCAGCGTCTGGTTGATCGTGATGCGAGCGCTCACGTCCCAGCGCTCAAAGATAACTCTGCTGCAGCGTCTGGTTGATCGTGATGCGAGCGCTCACGTCCCAGCGCTCAAAGATAACTCTGCTGCAGCGTCTGGTTGATCGTGATGCGAGCGCTCACGTCCCGGCACTCAAAGATAACCGCATATAACGGCCACAGCATATAGCGATAGCGGTCATAGCATATAGTGATAGCGGTCATAGCGTCAGTGATAGCGGTCATAGCGTCAGTGATAGCGGTCATAGCGTCAGTGATAGCGGTCATAACGTTAGCGTTAGCGGTCACAGCATAGCAAAAAATGGTTAGCGCATAAACGGTCACAGCATAGTGATAGCGGTCACAGCATAGTGATAGCGGTCACAGCATAGTGATAGCGGTCAAAGCATAGTGATAGCGGTCACAGCATAGTGATAGCGGTCACAGTATAGCGATAGCGGTCACAGCATAGCGATAGCGGTCACAGCATAGTGATAGCGGTCAAAGCATAGTGATAGCGGTCACAGCATAGTGATAGCGGTCAAAGCATAGTGATAGCGGTCACAGCATAGTGATAGCGGTCAAAGCATAGTGATAGCGGTCACAGCATAGTGATAGCGGTCACGACGTCTGTCCCCTGCAAACCAGGCTGCAAAACTCCATCAACACACAGCCTTTTTGGGGATTGTACGCGCTCCATCGCAGGAGCCTCCCCGAACTGAAGGCCGCACCGGGACCTAGGGCGCCAAACCACCTCTCAATAAAATACTCAAAACCATTTTCGTTTCTCGTCTCTCCAAATTGAAATGTATCCGTGCTCTGTCCTCGCTGAAACCCTTTTTAGAGCAGAGGTGGACACATGCTCTCGACCCAGAATGTGGCGACTGTGTTTTGGGACGGGATCAACACTGGACCCTTTGAGAAGAACCAAGAGAGCAGCGACCAAAGAGAAACAAGCTGGAGACATGCTGGAGACAGAGGTGTGTGGGCTCCGGACCCGTCTGTGGTCCCCTCTGGACCTGTCTGGGACCACAATGACCCGCCTGGGACCACAGTGACCCGTCTGGGACCACGGGGACCCATCTGGGACCACGGGGACCCGTCTGGGACCACGGGGACCCGTCTGGGACCACGGGGACCCGTCTGAGACCATGGGGACCCGTCTGGGACCACGGTGATCCGTCTGGGTCTGAGCCTCAGTCTGAGCGTCGGTCTGAGCCACGGTCTGAGCCTTGGTCTGAGCCTTGGTCTGAGCCTTGGTCTGAGCCACGGTCTTAGTCCCCAAAGTGGAGCTACAAAATAAACTTGAGATAATTCCTAAATGGTGTTTGCTGCTGCTACTGCTGCTACTGCTGCTACTGCTGCTACTGCTGCTGCTGCTGCTGCTGCTGCTACTGCTGCTACTGCTACTGCTGCTGCTACTGCTGCTGCTACTGCTGCTACTGCTGCTGCTGCTGCTGCTGCTACTGCTGCTGCTGCTGCTACTGCTACTGCTGCTGCTGCTGCTACTGCTGCTGCTGCTGCTGCTGCTACTGCTGCTGCTGCTGCTGCTGCTGCTGCTGCTGCTGCTACTGCTGCTACTGCTGCTGCTACTGCTGCTACTGCTGCTACTGCTGCTACTGCTGCTGCTACTGCTGCTACTGCTACTGCTGCTGCTGCTACTGCTGCTACTGCTGCTGCTGCTGCTGCTGCTACTGCTGCTGCTGCTGCTACTGCTACTGCTACTGCTGCTGCTGCTACTGCTGCTACTGCTGCTGCTGCTGCTGCTGCTACTGCTGCTGCTGCTGCTGCTGCTGCTGCTGCTGCTGCTGCTGCTACTGCTGCTACTGCTGCTGCTACTGCTGCTACTGCTGCTACTGCTGCTACTGCTGCTGCTACTGCTGCTACTGCTGCTGCTGCTGCTGCTACTGCTGCTGCTGCTACTGCTGCTGCTGCTGCTGCTGCTGCTATCATCTGACTCCGATTCTGTAGATGGTTAAACGGAGGATTCATCCATCCATCCATTTTCTTCCGCTTTATGCGTTGCCGGGTCGCGGGGGCAGCAGTCTAAGCAGAGACGCCCAGACTTCCCTATCCACACACACTTCCTCCAGCTCGTCCGGGGGGACCCCAAGGCGTTCCCAGGCCAGCTGAGAGACATAGTCCCTCCAGCGTGTCCTGGGTCTTCCGCGTGGCCTCCTCCCGGTGGGACGTGCCCGGAACACCTCCCCAGGGAGGCGTCCAGGAGGCATCCGGTACAGATGCCCGAGCCACCTCAACTGGTTCCTCTCAACGTGGAGAAGCAGCGGCTCTACTCCGAGCTCCTCCCGTGTGACTGAGCTCCTCACCCTATCTCTAAGGGAGCAGCCACTCTGCGGAGGAAGCTCATTTCGACCGCTTGTATCCGCGATCTCGTTCTTTCGGTCATTACCCAAAGCTCATGACCATAGGTGAGGGAGGGAACGAAGATTGACCGGTAAATCGAGAGCTTTGCCTTTCGGCTTAGCTCCCTCTTTACCACAACGGTCCGATACAGCTCTGACTGCAGACGCTGCTCCCTCTTTACCACAACGGTCCGATACAGCGACCGCATCACTGCGCACGCTGCACCGATCCGCCTGTCAATCTGACGCTCCATTCTTCCCTCACTCGTGAACAAGACCCCGAGATACTTGAACTCCTCCACTTGAGGAAGGACCTCTCCACCCACCTGCAGAGGGCAAGGCACCTTTTTCCGGTCGAGCACCATGGCCTCAGATTTGGAGGTGCTGATTCTCATCCCAGCCGCTTCACACTCGGCTGCAAACCGCTCCAGTGCATGCTGCAGGTCCTGGTTCGTTGGAGCCAACAGGACAACATCGTCCGCAAACAGCAGAGATGAAATCCTGTGGTCTCCGAACCGGACCCCCTCCGGCCCCTGGCTGCGCCTAGATATTCTGTCCATAAATACAGTGAACAGAACCGGTGACAAAGGGCAGCCCTGTCGGAGGCCAACATTCACCGGGAACAGGTCTGACTTACTGCCGGCAATGCGAACACAGCTCTGGCTCCGGTCATACAGGGATCGGATGGCCCTCAGCAGAGGACCCCCGACCCCGTACTCCCGGAGGACCCCCCCAAAAGACACCCCGGGGAACACAGTCGAACGCCTTCTCCAAATCCACAAAGCACATGTGGACAGGTTGGGCAAACTCCCATGAACCCTCGAGTATCCGATGGAGAGTATAGAGCTGGTCCAGTGTTCCGCGGCCGGGCCAAAACCACACTGCTCCTCCTGGATCCGAGATTCGACCATCGGCCGTAGCCTCCTCTCCGGAGGATTCAGATATATTTAAATCTGCTGCACCTTCCAATTTTCCATTGTTCTAAAGCAAGTGTTGAATTTGTGCGTCTCTTTCCACAGCTCAGAACAGCAACAATCAGAATCAGAATAATTTTTATTGCCACATAAGTAACAGAAGTCACAGACTTGGAAATTGCTTTGGCTCAGTGCAACAGTCAGAAAGAGATAATAAAAAATAAAGAATAAAAAACACTTCTAAGGAATAAATGTAAAGTTACTATTTACAATATCCAAGTGCACATGGTGCACACAATGTAAGGTGACAGCAGTACAGTGAAGTAAAGTGACGTATGATGGGCAGTAAAGTGACTTTATAAAGGGCGGGGGGACAGGTTAAGAAGTGTTCAAGAGTCCAACAGCAGAGGGGAAGAAACTGTTCTTGTGGCGGGAGGTTCTAGTCCTGATGGACCGCAGTCTCCTGCCTGAGGGGAGTGGATGGAATAGTCCATGTGCAGGTGAGAGGGGAGTGGTTGGAATAGTCCATGTGCAGGGTGAGAGGGGAATGGTTGGAATAGTCCATGTGCAGGTGAGAGGGGAGTGGTTGGAATAGTCCATGTGCAGGTGAGAGGGGAGTGGTTGGAATAGTCCATGTGCAGGTGAGAGGGGTCGGCTGTGATACGACCAGCCCGGCCTCGAGCTCGGGCGACGTACAGGTCCTGCAGCGATGGAAGGCTGCGGCCGATCACTTCCTCTGCAGAGCGCACAATGCGCTGTAGTCTCTGTTTGTCCCTGACTGTGGCTCCAGCGAACCACACGGTGATGGAGGAGGTGATGGAGGAGGTGATGGAGGAGGTGATGGAGGAGGAGATGGAGGAGGTGATGTGGAGGTGATGGAGGAGGTGGTGGAGGAGGTGATGGTGGAGGTGATGGAGGAGGTGATGAGGAGGTGATGGAGGAGGTGGTGGAGGAGGTGATGGTGGAGGTGATGGAGGAGGAGATGGAGGAGGAGAGGAGGAGGTGATGGAGGAGGCGATGGAAGAGGTGATGGAGGAGGCGATGGAAGAGGTGACGGAGGAGGTGACGGAGGAGGTGATGGAGGAGGTGAGGATGGACTCGATGATGGCCGTGTAGAACTGCAGCTTGGCTTTCCTGAGCTGCCGCAGGAAGTACATCCTCTGCTGGGCCTTCTTGATGAGGGAGCTGATGGTCGGCTCCCACTTGAGGTCCTGGGTGATGGTGGTGCCCAGGAAACGGAAGGACTCCACAGAGGTGATGGGGGAGTCCATCACGGAGGGTGGGGGCGGGGGGACAGTGCTCTTCCTGAAGTCCACAATCATCTCCACTGTCTTCTGGGCGTTCAGCTCCAGGTTGTTACCACTGCACCAGGACACCAGCCGGTCCACCTCCCTCCTGTAGGAGACACCAGGACACCAGCCGGTCCACCTCCCTCCTGTAGGAGACACCAGGACACCAGCCGGTCCACCTCCCTCCTGTAGGCGGACTCATCGTTGTTGGAGATGAGTCCAATGAGGGTGGTGTCGTCCGCGAACTTGATCAGCTTCACGGAGTCGTGGCTGGAGGTGCAGTGGTTGGTGTACAGGGAGAAGAGCAGGGGAGAAAGAACACAGCCCTGTGGGGCTCCTGTATTTATAATCCGAGAGTCCGAGACATTCTTCCCCAGACGCACTCGCTGCTTCCTGTCCGTCAGGAAGTCAGTGATCCACCTGCAGGTGGAATCGGGCACGTTGAGCTGGGAGAGCTTGTCCTGGAGCAGGGATGGCAGGATTGTGTTGAAGGCAGAGCTGAAGTCCACGAACAGGACCCTGGCGTAGGTCCCCGGGGAGTCCAGGTGCTGTAGGATGTGGTGGAGGGCCAGGTTAATGGCGTCGTCTACAGATCTGTTGGCTCTGTAGGCGAACTGCAGGGGGTCCAGGAGGGGGGAGGTGAGGGACTTGAGATGAGAGAGAACCAGGCGTTCAAATGACTTCAGGACGACAGACGTAAGTGCTACAGGTCTGTAGTCATTGAGTCCTGTGATCCTGGGCTTCTTCGGGACGGGGACAATGATGGAGGATTTGAAGCAGGACATGGCAGGACTGCAGAGAGGTGTTGAAAATGTCCGTGAACACAGGAGTAAGCTCACTGGTGCAGTATCTCAGAGTGGCCGGAGACACGTGGTCCGGGCCAGGAGCTTTGCGGGGGTGCAGCCTCAAGAAGAGTTGTTTAATGTCTTTAGAGGCTATTGTTAGGCTGGGGGCAGGGCTGATGGGTGGGTCGTTAGAGTAGTGGGGGGTGGGGGAGGGAGAGGTGTCAGGGGCAGCATCAAAGCGACTGAAAAATAAGTTCAGTTCGTCAGCTAGCTTGTGGTCGTCAGCACAGGGGGGGGCTTTGGGTTTGTAGTTGGTGATCTCCCGTAGGCCCCTCCAGACAGAAGCAGTATCGTTGTTACCAAACTGCTCCTGTAGTCGTTCTCTATAAAACAGTGTCATCAGATATGACCCTCTGTGCACGAGGCTGGAGCACTGAACCTATGAACACTGAACCTATGAACACTGAATCTATAAGCACTGAACCTATGAGCACTGAACCTATGAGCATTGAACCTATGAGCACTGAACCTATGAACACTGAACCTATGAGCACTGAACCTAAGGGCACTGAACCTATGAGCACTCAACCTATGAGCACTGAACCTATGAGCACTGAACCTAAGGGCACTGAACCTATGAACACTGAACCTATGAGCACTGAACCTATGAGCACTGAACCTAAGGGCACTGAACCTATGAACACTGAACCTATGAGAACTGAACCTAAAGGCACTGAACCTATGAACACTGAACCTATGAGCACTGAACCTATGAGCACTGAACCTAAGGGCACTGAACCTATGAGCACTGAACCTATGAACACTGAACCTATGAACACTGAACCTAAGGGCACTGAACCTATGAACACTGAACCTATGAGCACTGAACCTAAGGGCACTGAACCTATGAACACTGAACCTATGAGCACTGAACCTAAGGGCACTGAACCTATGAACACTGAACCTATGAGCACTGAACCTATGAGCACTGAACCTAAGGGCACTGAACCTATGAACACTGAACCTATGAACACTGAACCTATGAGCACTGAACCTAAGGGCACTGAACCTATGAGCACTGAACCTATGAGAACTGAACCTAAGGGCACTGAACCTATGAACACTGGACCTATGAGCACTGAACCTATGAACACTCAACCTATGAACACTGAACCTATGAACACTGAACCTATGAACACTGAACCTATGAGCACTGAACCTATGAGCACTGAACCTAAGGGCACTGAACCTATGAACACTGAACCTATGAGCACTGAACCTATGAACACTGGACCTATGAGCACTGAACCTCCATCCATCCATCCATCCATTTTCTTCCCTTTAATCCATTTCTGGGTCAGGGGGGTGGCAGTCAGAGATGCCACCCAAGTCTCATAGCACCAGCCCCTCACTGACCCTCTGCAGGTGGTGAGTCCACAGGAGGACGGCTGCTCTCTGACTGTGAGCATAGCCTTGATCTTTCAGTGGGGGCTTTGGGCAATGTGGGGTTAAGTGTCTTGCCCAAGGACACAACGACAGCAGTCATCAGTGGGAGTCGGTGGAGAAGGTGCAGAGGTGGGAATTGAACCCACGACCTTCTGGGCTTAAGGCCAATGCTCTACCAACTGAGCACTGAACCTATGAACACTCAACCTATGAACACTGAACCTATGAACACTGAACCTATGAGCACTGAACCTATGAGCACTGAACCTAAGGGCACTGAACCTATGAACACTGAACCTATGAGCAATGAACCTATGAACACTGAACCTAAATGTGATATGAAACATCTTATGGTCAGATTTCTCGTCGTTGGAATCAAAAACAATTGACCCAAATATCAAAAAGATAATAGTTAAAACCTCACTTGTCTCATCACATGTTCACATTTTCAAAGGCGACATTTGAAGGCGACAGTGGCTCATTGGCCTTTGAGCGTGAAGGTTGTGGGTTTGAGTCCACCACAAGACTTTCTCCACCGACTCCCACTGATGTCTGCTGTGGTGTCCTTGGGCAAGACACTTAACCTCTGTGAACAGCAGGTGCCACAGTGGGGCGGCTGCGGCTGTAAAGTGCCAAACTGTGGTTGTGCCCTTAGGCAAGACATATAACTCTGGTCATTTCAAAATGAAACGTATATTGGAAACTAAAATGATTAGGAAACTAAAACAGGTGGATGATTCTCCACCTGTGTGAACGAGTGCTATATAGAAACATATATATATATATATATATATATACATAAATATTTATATGTATACTGTATATAAGATATATATACTGTAAATAATATTAAAACATACGGATATGCATTTTTCATGGCGTTGATGTTGCTGCAGTAAAACCTCGCTCTTCAGCACGTTTCTCCTGATTGGTCCAAAACCATGGGTGCACTTGGTCTGTGTCTGTTTCTGGATGAGAACGACCGAGAGTGGCAGCTCTGAAGATGATTAGTTTAAGGAGGTGTGAAGTTTGAGGCTGGTACTTGGCAAATGAGGAGAGAAACCGTGATTGACGTCAATGGGCTGAGGCAGCAGCAAGACGAGGCTAAACGGGACACAGTGGAACCTTCAGACTCTGGGCCTGATGCTTTATGCCAAACAAATTACTGATTATAGAAATGTTATTGAAACGATATGAATAAACTTGTATCCTCCCCCAGTTTCTCCTCTGCACTCACCCACTGTCCTCAGTGTCCTGGGCCTGTTCCAGATTTATATTTATATTATTTTACTATAAATATACTAAACCATTTTCTATAAACCAGCTTTTACCAACCGCTCATGAATTATAATTCAGTGCAGTGTGATGCAGTCAGGCCAGAGGAATGTCCAGGAGAGGAGAGCGTCATGTACCAGGAAGGACCAAGAGGGACCAGGAACAGCAAAGAAGAAAGACCAGGTGGGCCCATGGAGGGAAAGAACCAGCAACCAGTAGGACATAGACATTAGGGGCATATAGACTAATAGTAAGACTTTATTATTACAGACTTTATTATAATACATGCTGTCGTTGTGTCCTTGGGCAAGACACTTAACCCCACTTTGCCCAAAGCCCCCACTGAAAGATCAAGGCTATGCTCACAGTCAGAGAGCAGCCGTCCTCCTGTGGACTCACCACCTGCAGAGGGTCAGTGAGGGGCTGGTGCTATGAGACTTGGGTGGCATCTCTGACTGCCACCCCCCTGACCCAGAAATGGATTAAAGGGTAGAAAATGGATGGATGGATGGATCGACTTTATTATAACAACTAAGATGGCGCCTCGTACGGTCGACACGGCTCTTTGCTGCTCTCTTCTTCTTTTGTTTTTACTTTTTAACTGTGCATCTGGCTGTTCCTACACCCGTGAGGAACTTATGAACATCCGACCCACCGTCCCCATGGACCTATTGCCTGTTTTCTTGCCATCTGCGGCTGATTTAGTCCATGTTCTAGCCAAAAAAGCTCTCCCCGGCATTTTTCTCTCCAACGTACGCTCACTGGGCAATAAGACGAACTCAGCCTGCTCATGAGAAGAAACAAGGACTTCATCCTGTGTCCTCTGCTTCACTGAGACCTGGCTAAATGAGTGGATCCCGGACTGTGCTCTGGAGCTGCAGGGCTTTGGGCTGTTCCACACGGATCGCCATTGTGCGCTCTCAGGGAAGAGCAGAGGCGGTGGGCTGTGTTTCTACGTCAATACAAACTGGTGTAACGATGTGACAGTGATCTCCAAGCACTGCTCTCCTGCTCTGGAACATCTTTTCATTCATTGTAAACCATTTTACTCCCCTCGTGAGTTTGTTTCATTCATTCTTGCCTCTGTTTACATACCGCCATGCGCGGACGCAGAGCAAGTACTGTGTATGGAACGTTTATACCCGGACTCTCTGATTATTATCCTGGGGGATTTTAATAAGGGAAACTTGAGCCAGGAATTACCCAAATACAGACAGTTTATCAAATGCCCGACCAGAGAGGAGAACACTCTGGATCACTGTTACACCACCGTGCGCGGAGCTTTTCGCGCTGTTCCCAAGCCAGCCCTCGGCTTCTCAGATCACTCCATGATACATCTGGTTCCTGCTTACAGACAGAGACTAAAGCTCTCGAAACCTGCAGTGAGGAGCTCCAAAGTGTGGTCTGATGAAGCTGTGGAAGAGCTGCATGCATGGAATCTACAGACTGGGACCTTTTCAGAGCTGCCACAGATAGTTTGGATGAATACACGGACACTGTGACGTCATACATTCACTTCTGTGAGGATAGCATCATTCCAACAAGGACCAGGGTCATCTATAACAACGACAAACCCTGGTTCACTGCTAAACTCCGGCAGCTCAGGAAAGCAAAGGAGTCTGCTTTCAGGGAGGGGGACCGCAGCGGCTACAAAGCAGCTAAATATCAGTTCAGGAAAGAACTGAAAGCAGCCAAGTCCCGGCACAGAGAACGACTACAGGAGCAGTTTGGTAACAACGATACTGCTTCTGTCTGGAGGGGCCTACGGGAGATCACCAACTACAAACCCAAAGCCCCCCCCTGTGCTGATGACCACAAGCTAGCTGACGAACTGAACTTATTTTTCAGTCGCTTTGATGCTGCCCTTGACACCTCCCCCACCCCCCACTACTCTAACGACCCACCCATCAGCCCTGCCCCCAGCCTAACAATAGCCTCTAAAGAGATTAAACAACTCTTCTTGAGGCTGCACCCCCGCAAAGCTCCTGGCCCGGACCACGTGTCTCCGGCCACTCTGAGACACTGCCCCAGTGAGCTTACTCCTGTGTTCACGGACATTTTCAACACCTCTCTGCAGTCCTGCCATGTCCCGGCCGGCTTCAAATCCTCCATCATTGTCCCCGTCCCGAAGAAGCCCAGGATCACAGGACTCAATGACTACAGACCTGTAGCACTTACGTCTGTCGTCATGAAGTCATTTGAACGCCTGGTTCTCTCCCATCTCAAGTCCCTCACCTCCCCCCTCCTGGACCCCCTGCAGTTCGCCTACAGAGCCAACAGATCTGTAGACGACGCCATTAACCTGGCCCTCCACCACATCCTACAGCACCTGGACTCCCCGGGGACCTACGCCAGGGTCCTGTTCGTGGACTTTAGCTCTGCCTTCAACACAATCCTGCCATCCCTGCTCCAGGACAAGCTCTCCCAGCTCAACGTGCCCGATTCCACCTGCAGGTGGATCACTGACTTCCTGACGGACAGGAAGCAGCGAGTGCGTCTGGGGAAGAATGTCTCGGACTCTCGGATTATAAATACAGGAGCCCCACAGGGCTGTGTTCTTTCTCCCCTGCTCTTCTCCCTACACCAACCACTGCACCTCCAGCCACGACTCCGTGAAGCTGATCAAGTTCGCGGACGACACCACCCTCATTGGACTCATCTCCAACAACGATGAGTCCGCCTACAGGAGGGAGGTGGACCGGCTGGTGTCCTGGTGTCTCCTACAGGAGGGAGGTGGACCGGCTGGTGTCCTGGTGCAGTGGTAACAACCTGGAGCTGAACGCCCAGAAGACAGTGGAGATGATTGTGGACTTCAGGAAGAGCACTGTCCCCCCGCCCCCACCCTCCGTGATGGACTCCCCCATCACCTCTGTGGAGTCCTTCCGTTTCCTGGGCACCACCATCACCCAGGACCTCAAGTGGGAGCCGACCATCAGCTCCTCATCAAGAAGGCCCAGCAGAGGATGTACTTCCTGCGGCAGCTCAGGAAAGCCAAGCTGCCTGCACAGATGTTGACCTCCTCCAGCACCTCCTCCATCACCTCCTCCGTCACCTCCTCCATCACCTCCTCCATCACCTCCTCCATCACCTCCTCCATCACCGTGTGGTTCGCTGGAGCCACAGTCAGGGACAAACAGAGACTACAGTGCATTGTGCGCTCTGCAGAGGAAGTGATCGGCCGCAGCCTTCCATCGCTGCAGGACCTGTACGTCGCCCGAGCTCGAGGCCGGGCTGGTCGTATCACAGCCGACCCCTCTCACCTGCACATGGACTATTCCAACCACTCCCCTCTCACCTGCACATGGACTATTCCAACCACTCCCCTCTCACCTGCACATGGACTATTCCAACCACTCCCCTCTCACCTGCACATGGACTATTCCAACCACTCCCCTCTCACCTGCACATGGACTATTCCAACCACTCCCCTCTCACCTGCACATGGACTATTCCAACCACTCCCCTCTCACCTGCACATGGACTATTCCAACCACTCCCCTCTCACCTGCACATGGACTATTCCAACCACTCCCCTCTCACCTGCACATGGACTATTCCATCCACTCCCCTCTCACCTGCACATGGACTATTCCATCCACTCCCCTCTCACCTGCACATTGAAGTCAATAATTCCCTTGACTGACGTGTTCGAGTTGATGCAGAGGCATGACAACAGATCTCCAAGTTTTAACATCTGCATTTAATTTATCTTTACAATCAGATACAGAAATTCCAACAAAGAGGGCTCCTAAAACTATGCATGTCCCTCTCTCTGGCCCTCGGCTGATTCTTCCGTGTCTGCCCAAGCCCGAGCCTTATCAGTCGATGTTCAGGGAGCAGGGGGCGTGTCGTATCAGGGAGGTCTTGGGCCCAGGGTCCGATGACGTCACAGGTCTGGGACTGGTCTGGCCCCTGGTCCTGGTCTGGACCCGGTCTTGGTCTTCCATCTCCACCTGAGCAAACAATGGCCCCACCCCTGCGGCGCCTGATTGTGTTGGACTTTGCTCTCGCCCAAAGTGAGAGAGAGAGAGAGCCCTGCTTATACTTGGAGTCAATAATTGTCTAGTTTGTATACTATCTTGTGTCCTTGGGGTTTTTCCTGAGTGCACAGAGGTCTTTTTTTGGCTATGATGTCCAAATGGTCAAATATTAAAATATACAACATTTTAATTATACAACAGTTTCCCTCTTTTGACCTGATTAAAAATTAGGTCACAATCCACATCGTCGTTTATCATCCATACTTGTGCTTAGTTCAGGCTTGATATCTGTGAAGAGTTAATACAGGGAAAACAAACAACACACAACCACATTCGAAACATTCCTTCACAAAACTCTTTGATGACCACCGCTGTGTCATTCTGATTCTTCATCGTTAATCAAATTGGTATTATCGTTACAGGAGCTAATCTATTTTAGCAGGTTTCTCTGGGGTCAGTCCCTATACAACGGTATTTTGATTCTCTAATCTGTTGCTGACAAATCGACAGCTCTTAAAATTCTCAAAAATACCTAAATATCTACTTTTGTGCTATATTCAAATTAACCAAAATGCTTTTAAATGTTTTTGAATCTCTGTTGGTTCTAATCTATCTCATTAATCTAAGCTACATTAATCTAGGCTACACTCATGAACTTTATCTACTTTTGAAGTAACTACTTTTGGACATAATATGAAGGAAATGGTCTTTTTACCGTTTGATATTAGCCCTGTCTAAAAATAATCTCTATTTTTGAAAGCATCTATCTATTTTACACTCTATTGTGACTCCAAATCTTGGTTGTAGTTTGAGCCAAAGCATATTCCCAATTTTTGAGTTCTGATTGTAACAATTGCATTGGCAATAGACGATTTTTCATTGGCTGGTTCTTGTTCTGCCAATCACTATTCTATGTATTGTATTTCAGACAATTCCAAAAACAACACAGTCGTTCTCCAATATTAAAGACATACATCTAAATCAAGTTGCCTGAAAGGGATTTTAACTATTTTAAAACGTTCTCTACGATTATAAGGCTATGCATTTAATTATTTAATAAACAAAAGCACATTCATGGCTTCTGTCCGCTGCTTATAACTGTTTAAAGAGTTGTCCCAAACTTAATGTGTGAATACATCAGCTGTTTGTAATAAACAATAACATTTAACCTGTTCTCCAATGGAGCAGCTCAGAGGCTGCGTCCAGAGCAGTGTTATATTTGAGCTATTTTTAGATTTAAAATTGTGTTAAAGCCTGTCGTTCTATGTCTGCATTTTAATACTACTCTCTATAAACACATCTGCACTAATTCCTACAGATGTGGAAAACAGAAACATCTAAAATCTGACTCCATTTGATTCCTTTTTACTTTAGTTATTAGAACAATTTGACCTTATTGATACTTATTTCCACAATAGAACTATTTTGATTATTCACTAGTCTAACTATTATTACTATTGTTTATTCTGACACCTCTTCTTAGCGACCCTTCAACCTATAGCTCCTTGAATCCAATGACATTATAGCTCCAGACTATTTCATTCTATTCTATTATTATTATTGTATGATCTATTATCTTAAAGAGTAGATCTGTTTGATGTTATAAGCGCTATTATTTCTCCTTTTGAACTTGCACAACACTAAATTTAGAATGACCCCCTATGGGACAAATAAAGAATTTTATTTCATTTTGGCAACTCCGAAAATTACTTAATAATTTTCCCATTTTGCTTTTTAGGCTGCCCTTTTCTATTATTTATTTGGTCTTGTAAATATATGTTTTACACTTCTTTCTAATGATTTAGAAGGTTAAGGACCATGACCACCTATGACAATACAATACTCCCCTCTCTTGGTCGTGGGCCAAGTGTAAATGTATGCATCTGTGTGTGTGTAGATTACTGTTCCAATCATTCTCCAGTTGTTCCTCCCGGATCGTCCTCAATTCATATTGTGGGCTCTGGTGCCAAAGTAGAGGCTCATTTCCTCATGATCCATACTACTGTCATCCCTGAAGCAGGTGCAGTTTATCTTTCATCTGAAAAAGAAACATTAGAACACCAGAAATGCCCACTTTCCTCTCTTCGCATGGTGCGGCCTGTCAATCAATCCATTTGGGTAAAACATAACTGCATTGACAGACGGTGTGTGGCATCAGGGCAGAGGCTGTAGCCAAATACAGACTTAACAATATGTATGTTTCTAATTTTATACTCCCCTAAATGTGAGTTACAAACCAAAGTTGTCCTCCGCCCAATGACCGCTCACTGCGGTTGGACCGAATCACTGTCAGGACAAACAGCAGAGGGAGGGACTCCCAGTACCTTCAGCAAGGTATTCATCTCAGAGTACTTCCCGCAGAGTACTTTTCTCAGAGTACTCATCCCAGAGTACTCTCACTTTTACACCTGTTCAATAAAGCTTGTTATCTTTGAATCTCTAGTACTTACACCGTATGCTGTTGACAAAAAATAATTATTCCATGATCACATTAAAACATTACAGAAAACTTTTGTTATTCCATTCTCCGTTCAGCACTCCTCATTTCACATCACACTCGCATCACTCACACAGGCCGACTCCCCACGTTAGTATTTTGGTCCAGAGTTTGTTAAGGTCAACGTAGTGTATTTGACATGACGCACAAACATATAACATACACAAACATATAACACACACAAACATATAACATACACAAACATATAACATACACAAACATATAACATACACAAACATATAACATACACAAGAGGCCTGTAATTTTAACTTTGTTATATTTTTCCATGTCCAATTACAATTGTCTCATGAGCTATTTCTATTGTTGCAACTTTCAGAGCCTGCAGACCATGCAGAGCTTTGAGAGATTTTTCCTACAAGGCTCCATTTCAAACTTTAGTTTTTAAACCACGTGGTCTGTACTCGGGCTTATCACAGACTGTGTCCCCTATATTTTTAATGAGCTCTTGTTACTTTAAGACTCGTGCACTTGCAATAAATGTTTTTCCCCTTTTTTTTGTAAAGCCAGTTCGGATTCATTAAAAATGTAAATTAGTTTCAAACTTTAATACTTCACCTTTGTTTCACGTTCATGTGGAGAAAAGACCATTGTTTTATGTGTGTTGTCGTACTTGTACCAATCATGTCTCAGATGAACGGCCAACAGTTGTATCAAAGACATAATTGTCCTAATTGTTTCTAATTTAGCTATTTGGAAGAGAAACATGTCATAAAAGATTTCATAAAATGTCCCTACATCCTTGTTTTCAACCAATGAACAGTGTTGCGTCAATGTGTTATCAGAAATGATCCAAAATCACCTTTAGCCAAAATTTAGAAATGCTTTAAATCATTTTTCAAACTTTAATTGTCTGAACAAACCATTTTGTACTAAATGCAGCGTCCATTAAAAGCTGCAGTTCTCTTCCTAGCACCAGTATCAACTGTGCATGTGACTGTTTTTAAATGATTAACAAGCCACGGTTCAGAGGTTGAAAACACTGCTTTAAATATCCGTATTACCAAGATCATGCAGTTAAAATCAATAATTCTAAACTTCTCCGCGTCTATAACTTTAAATAATAATACTAGTTTCAATAATAGAGCTCCTCTACTTTAAATATACTGCTGTTCTAATCTCCTTGTGTCTCATGCTAAAGCAAGAGTCTAATTTTAACGATTGTCCTGTATTCTTTCATGCAGCTAAATGTAGTGTTATGAACGAATGACCTAAATGTGTAAATATGACTTAAATTCCACATGTCTCTGTGCGCTTATTTGTCCGTATATATTTACCTTCTGTCTGTCTCATTTAGCCCGGCCACGTCTTCTTCTTATGGCGTCTTTCAGTGTCTTTTGTCTCAAAGTGTCCAATGTCTATGTCTCAAAGTGTCCAATGTCTTTGCCTCAATGCCTTTTTTCCTTCTTCTTTAAACAATCACTTTCTTTCTTCTTCTTTCAATAATCACTTCCTTTCTTCTTCTTTCAATAACTTTCTTCTCCTTGCAATGTCTTTTTCTTTTCAATCATTTTCTTCTTCTTTCGACAACTTTTCTCATGTCTTTCTTTGTCTCATTTTTGACGCACACAAATGTGTGTGTCCTTCTTCTTCTTGTTAGGT